GGTGGATGTCGTGGTGCAACGAGCAGAACGACGTCGGGGCCTTTTTGCCCTTTTCGACGAACAGGGTGGTGCAGTATGTTTTGAAGCTCAAGCATGAAGAAAGGCAGAGCGCAATCAGGGAGTTTCTTGAGACATTACAGTTTTGCAGACATGTGATGGGCATTCACTTTCAGGAAGGGCTGCTTGATAGTCCCGTCTTGAAGGGCATTTATCGATCAGCCTTGACCAGCAGGAAGGAAGTCAAACAGGCGCGGCCCCTGACAGTTGTGGAAATCTTGGCCCTGGAGGGAGCATTGATTTCGGGGCAATGTCACCCTGTCGATCGTTTCGCTCTGGGTGTGTTCTTGTTTCAACTATACAGCAGGGCACGCGTTTCAGACATCCGCAACATCGACGGGATCGTTGTGGACATCACGGGTCGTCACGGATATATCGAGGCGCGGACCCATGATCACAAATAGAAACGCATTTCAGGATGCATCGGCCTCGCGTTGCATTTGGTTGCACCCATACAGGGCTTGTGCAGTGAACCCTGGGGACTTGCGTTCGTTGATGCAGCAGCTGCAGCAGGTTTTGAATTCAAGAAGGGACACAAAGGTCCTTTGCTTCCAGCAGTCGATGCGGCAGGGAACTGGGTGCAACGAGCAGTGACGTCAGGCGAAACTTGTGACTGGCTTATCAAGGTCTTAAGGACTTTGTTATCTGCTGATCCTGCGCCCGGGATTTCAAGCCAAATGCACGACTTTGAGTTGGATGGCCAAGGCAGGATTCTCCGAGCCTACTCGCATGATTTTGGGACATCGCTCCATGAAAAACAAGAAATCTTTGGAGAGTTACTCGTGTGACCTGCAGTCGGGACCCTTAAGGGAGTATGAGAGCTGCATTGCTTCAATACGCAGTGGTGCATTCTTGCCTGATCAGTCGCGCAGTGGTTATTTCAGAGTGGGCTGGGAGAGCTTCTTTGAGGGGCCCAACAACCTGGCGCCGGAAGCTAAAGAAGCCAAGACTGTGCAAACGTATGATGGAGACGTCGGACATCAATGCAAGCCTTGAAAAGGCAGATGACCTGCCAGCAGATGCTCAGCCTGTTCAGGCTGAAAGCTCAGGAATCCCGACTATTCCAGTTCGGACGATAGCTCTTCAAGCGAGAGTGAGAGTGAGGGCAATGGTGCCGAACCTGATCAGGAGAACCCGCCCGGCATGTTCGAGTCAGTGGTCACTCAGACTATCGATGATTGGAAACCTGGGTGCACTGTCTGGCAGAATAGGAAGACCAAGACTCTTCACTTGCAAGCCGAAGGCAGCAAGGGAAACACATTCATATGTGGACGCAACAGAAGCGAAGACTGTGTTGACTTCTCAGGGAGGCGTGTGTACAGTGACTCCTGGAAGTGCAAACAGTGCAACATTGGCAGACCCGTACGGGATGTTGATGCCATGGTGACTCTCTTTGACCGGTTGAAGACCAAACGTGTGAAATGAGCGCGGAAAACGTTGTGTTGAAGCCTCTCTCATTTGCACAGACAGCCTTGTACATATTTTTTTCGAGTTTGCTGTGCTTGACATGCAAGTGCATGATGACGAGCAGGTGCTCGCTTGGATGCATGTGCATCTCCGGTCCAAGTGGATCAGCGCAAGTGCGCTTTGACTAGCATGCAGGTGCATGCTGTGGGTTTCATGACACACGATCATGTGACTCACACACAGGCGAAGACTTGTGACTAGCATGCAGGTGCATGCTGTGGGTTGCATGACACATGATCATGTGACTCACATACAGCTGAAGACTTGTGAACAGCTGTGCCTGGACAGCCATGTCGTCGATCACTGATTCTGTTGCGGTCTTCAAGGAACGCGCCCAGGAAGTGGGCCTGAGCAGCGCATTGATCGACGTCCTGGAACATAAGGGTGTGACGAACCTGACCAAGTTGGCTTTTGCTGCTGGCCAGCCAGGTGAGACGCCGACAGATGCGACTCTTCGGGATTTGGTGACCAGTGATGGTGGCGACCCGAGTATCATACAGCTGGGGACGCTTGCAAGTGTTAGGCGTTTGACGTTCGAGGCCCAAACGCTCATGGTGGCACAGGTCCGCAATCTGGTGGAGCAGAAGGAAGATGAGCAAGGGGCTGAGCTAGCTCCTGCTGAGAGGAGCGACAGGATCCGCAAACAAAAAGAACGACTGGGCGGTCGTGAGTTGATCGGGGAGCTGGAGTGCGGCCATGTCTGCTACGATCACGTCATGAAAATGGTACAGAACAATGCCGTGTCTTACCTAGCCCCGCACAAGTTTATATCTCGCAGATCCGAGTTGGCCAGGAGCAAGCCCAAGAAAGAGCTGACAATTGACGGAGCTTCTCAGGTCGTGGTGAAAAGCAAAACAGATGACGCTCGCTGCGATACAAGCGACAATCTCCATTTGCTGCAAGCGTTCCATCGGAGGGCGTTAGCCATGGACCTTGTGGGAGTTGCCAGCTACAAGGTTGTGGAAGCATTTCACAGATTTTTGATGACACAGTTGCAGACAAGCCCGCCGCCTGGCTATGCCAAGATCTCAATCGCACAGGTGCTTCAGGCAGACCAGGAAGCTTGGCTACGCCTTTCAGAGAAAACCCCAAATCGGATCAAGAGGAATGCAGATGGAAGGATGCCGCTCGATTTGGAGTGACCTCAATTGGAATCGGACCCACGAGTAGCATTCCATCTTCTCCCCCTTCCTGCAGCCAGCTCGTCAGCGCCGGCAGCTACAAGGTTTGGCATCCAGAACACTTACAACTCGGAAAACAAGGGAAGCGGAAAATCCGGGGGCAAAGCCCTGAAGCGGAAATGGAAAGCCCCCCAGGGCATGCCTGAAGCATTGAAGGGCATGCAGAGCCAAACGGCCTCAGGCAAATCCATTTGCTGGGCGTACAATTTGCCGGAAGGTTGCGACAAGTGCAAAGCAGGACAGAAATGTGACCGAGGACTGCATTTGTGCATGTATCCGAATTGCCAGAAGCCGCATCCTTTGCACAAGCACGAGAATCGCTGACAAGAATTTCAGGACTTCCTGCAGCGTGCGCGAAATCGCTTGGCAGGATCAGATTTTCACCAGCTTTACATGATCGAGTTATTTGCAGGTACAGGTCGACTATGTGCAGCTTGCAAAGCAATTGGGCTAAAGGACAGCATTGGTGTTGACCATCGCGTGCAAAAGCACACGCGCTCTCCGATGTTATGCTTGGATCTGCAACTGGACTCTTCATGGGAGCTGATCTATCAGTTAGTGAACTCGGGAACAATCTTCTGGGTTCACGCAGCTCCGCCGTGTGGGACGGCCTCAAGGGCCAGACTCATACAGCGGAAAGGACAAAACAATCCGCCAGTAGTTCGCACAGACGAGCATCCCGACGGACTGCCCAACTTGACGTGTTCCCGATCGTGTTAAGAGTGCAAACATTTTATATCTGCGGACGGCTGAACTGCTTGAGCACACTTGGAATCTCGGTGTGTACATGTCAGTTGAGAATCCTGGTCGCAGTTTCATGTGGGACACCACCTTTTGGAAACAGCGTCTGCAACAATTTCCTGTTTTCGAGACTTTGTTTCACCATTGCGGTCATGGAGGGCACAGACGGAAACTGACCAAACTGGTTCACACAGTGCCTGCCTTCGAAGAACTTGCAGCTTTTTGTCCTGGAGAATCGGAGCAGCACAAGCATCTGCCCTGGGGGTACAACCCTGTTCTGAAACAGTGGACCACGGCTGAAGAAACAGCTTATCCTTCCAAGTTGTGTCAGACGTGGGCTGCCCTCACACTGGTCGCAGCCACAGATTTACATGTCGCTACACCGGCCGGGTGCCTAGATGACTTCACGCGTACGGACCACCGAGCCGCACGTGCGTCACTTGGAATGCAAGCCGCAGTACAAAAGATCCCGCCTCTTGTGCGGGAGTTCAAGGACATTGTGACTTTGCAAGGACCAGCAGATCTCATGCCCGCATCAAAGTTGCAGGCAACCTGGACAATTCCCCATGCCATCAGATGTGACAAAGATTACAGCATGCTGCCAGCTGGCTCTAGAGTCATTCGCACGCAGTTTCAGGGGGTGATGGAGGCGGTGCGGAACGACAAACACCATTTTCATGGCTTACCTGATGCAATATCTGCCGAGGAGGACAATGTCGCTGTGCTGGAAACCGATATTGGACAGGCAAAATACATCATCGGCGTTCCCTGGATGCCTCAAGAGTTTTTGTCTAAAGCATGCTCAGTATCGCACCCAAGACATTTGCTGAGCGGAGTGCCTGACGAGCTCAAATCATGCATTTTGCAGTTGCCATTGATGAGTGACAGCAGCCTGGCCGCTTATCGCACTGAACAGATCCGAAAGTGGGTTCTCAGGGCACGTGAGCTTCGCGAACGTGAGCGTGGAGTTAAGAACGAAATCCCTGAGCATTGCAAAAAGGTGCTGACTAAGAAGAGGTTGCTGCTTTTCGAAGAAATGCTGAATGAAACGGGCCACGGAGATGGGAATCTTAAAGACCTGCAGCAAGGTTTCAAACTCACTGGACCCATACCTTCAGTTCCCGGTTTCAGGAAGAAGTTGACACCTGCTACCTTGACGGAGGATGATTTGCGCAGAAATGCATCCAGGATGAGGAAAGCCACTCTGATGTCCACAAGAGGATCCGGCGACACGGAGCTGGACGCTGCCGTCATGGAAGCCACCTCCAAGGAGCTGGAAAAGGGGTGGCTGACAGGACCTTTCTCCGAGACGTATCTTGAGCCGCATGCTTGTGTGTCTCGAAGGTTCGGGATCAAGCAGAAGAATAAGTACCGGCCAATTGACAATCTCAGGGAGAGTAACATTAACAGCACGACCTCTGCTGAAGACACAATCCCCGTGCACACGGCAGATGTCATCGGAGCAGGAATCTGTGTGCGCATGCAGGCTGAAAAGGATGAGGGGCTCATTCGGGGTTGTGTTCTCAGGATGTGGGATTTAGCCAAAGCCTACAAACAGCTTCCCCTCCACTCGGACTCTCTGGCATACAGTTACCTCTCTGTTTACAATCCTGGAGTGGGTCGTGCAGAGATTTACCAGCAGCTGGTTTTACCCTTTGGGTCGCGCGCATCAGTTCATTCTTTTGTACGTGTAGCATCAGCAATTTGGAGGATCGGTGTGGTATCTCTCATGTTGCACTGGATATTTCGATGACTACATTGTGTTTGAACGACCAGTTCTGGCCAGGCACTCGGACATGTGTGTGACCGTGCTCTTCGCAGCTCTCGGGTGGGATGTTGCACAAGACAAAGATGACAGTTTTTCCGAACTGGGGAAAGTTCTGGGCTTGGAAATCGACCTGAGTGAATACAGACTGGGACTGGTGCGCTTCCAGAACACTGAGAGTCGGCGGTCCGAGCTCTATGAGGACATCAAAGCTCATCTGACGAAGGGAACTTTGAACCCCAAGGAGGGAGCGAGTTTGAGAGGGCGAATGCTATTTGCCGAAAATCAGCTCTTCGGGAGGCGATGTTTGGCTCCATGAGGACGCTTTCTTTCCACCTTCGTACTGGGAAGCCGCGTTTGGCCACAGATACATCTCATGCTCTGGAGTTCTTGATGGATCATTTCCTGAATGGTCGCCCGCGTGAAATAAGTTGCGCATTGAACGAAGTTCTGCACTTGTATGTGGATGCAGCCTACGAACCTGGAAACATGAAACCTGGAGGCCTGGGTGGGGTCCTGGTTGATCCAAAGACGACCAATGTGCAGCAACATTTTTCTTTGATGCTCACAGCAGCAGAAGTTTGCGCAGTGACCACAGAGGGAAGCAAGAACCCCATTTTTGAGCTTGAATGCCTAGCCATGCTTGTGGGTGTTAAGGTCTGGGCTAATCATCTCAGACACAAACATGTCATCCTTTTCACGGACAACAACGGCTCTCTGGGAGCCATGATTTCGGGTGTCAGCCGAAACTCTACAGGTGCCGACATAGTGCATTGCTTTGACGCTTTTGTGGACAGTTTGGGGTGCATCGTCTGGTTTGAAAGAGTCAACACGGCTTCGAACCCAGCGGATGAACCCTCGCGAAATACTTCGTGCAGCGGCCTTGGAGAAGCAGTTTCCATCGACTTGAGAGATCTGAGCCACATGCTGTCAGAGTTCAGGAGCAGGGGGTGATTCGTGAGGCATGTGCCTCAGAACAGTACCTTGACGCGAAGCGCGGGGTGACTTGAACAATCCCCCATGCATCCGGTGGAAAAAGATCTTAGTGTGATGCGCTGAGTCCACACATTTGATTTTTATTCTGTATGCAAAGCTTCGCTGTGCGCCGACCTGTTTGATGCTGGTTGCATCTATGATTTAATCCCCCTGACAATAAGCAAGATCTCTCCCGTAGGGAGATAGCGCCTTATTGTATAGGGTGGATTGCGTTTGGTCTCCATGTGTTTTGGTGAACCCTCGCTTGGTCCTATTTTTGGACCGTTGCTGTCTCATCCTTTTGACTTGCATGAGTTGCGCTTTGTGCTTGACTTGTGCAATCATGCATTTCTCACTTGGATTGAAATTGTTTATATTCCCGTTGCTTTGGCTAGGGTGGGTGGGCGGGTACTCTCGCGCTCGCCATGAAAGCGCGACGTTGGTACACCCTGCATTTTTGCCCACCCAGCTTCGCTCCCTCCCTAATGCAGGGGTGGGGGTGATTCGTGAGGCATGTGCCTCAGAACAGTACCTTGACGCGAAGCGCGGGGTGACTTGAACAATCCCCCTTGCACCCGGTGGAAAAAGATCTTAGTGTGATGCGCTGAGTCCACACATTTGATTTTTATTCTGTATGCAAAGCTTCGCTGTGCGCCGACCTGTTTGATGCTGGTTGCATCTATGATTTAATCCCCCTGACAATAAAATCATTTTCTTCAACTGTTACATGTCAAACAATTTGCGCCGACATCAAAAAATGAACATTAACAGAATGCTCATCACTCTGCTGTAGAAATTCGACTTCAAACTGTTCATTAATTCTGTTCAAAATCATTTTAAGCATTAAGCTGTCTGTAAAATGGAAACATGAAGTGCGGGTAAGTGCCCCTGACACTGCGCTCTGCTGTGCTGTAGCGCAGATGTGCTTGATGCTTGTTCTGCAAAGACAAGCTGTCTTATGTTAGCCTTCTTGCAAGTTTTCTTAATGGCCATAGTTGTGGCAATATTTGCACTGGTTCGCATCCATGTTGTTGGGCCCTTTTCCGTCCTTGCCCCTCCCTTCCCTTTGACTTTTCCTTGCCTTTGTGGTTCTTTCGCATTGGATCGCAACCATCTGCTAATTACTTGTTCACTTTCTGGGGCCAGCCTGTGTAAGGTCGAGTTCTGTTACGTCGCAAAAACCAGACAACAAAGTGCGAACCTATTGTTTTAGCTTTACAGTAGATTTCTGGGTTATTTCGACAAAGGTGGGGATTTTTCTGGTATGTCCATGTGCGTGGTTTTACTTGCAAGCTGGGCAATCTTCTGCAAACGGGCACTTGCCTCGATCTTAACCGATTTGTCGTTTAAAAGACGAGTAAGAGTGCCCGCAATCTGGACCCAAACCAAAATTACCTGGGGCAAGGAAGAGCAGGGCCACCGGACCACTGAGAAGGGTGCAGAGGGAAAGACCCAAACCGGGGCCACCAGGACCATCGGGGGCTGGGACACTTAGCCACCGTCAGAGCCACCAAAATCACAAACGGAAGGTTGAGAGTTTTGCGGTTGATGCGGTTCCTGCGCCGCTGCAATCTTGGCCTTTGAAGAGGTTTGTTGCTCAGTTCCACAATGCGCTTTAGCATTTCCTTAAAGGCATAGAAGCTTGTTTCATGCGCTATTTCAGTGCTCGCCGTTTTATGTTTTTTTGCAGTTGACTTGCCGGTTTGTCTTTGAAAGTTTAGGCATTCCCAGTTCTTGTTAGTGTTGCTGCCTGTGGCATTGAGGCTGATTGCCTTGGAGTTGAGTATGTTCTAGAAGTACCCCCGCCCCCCTCCGTGACTGTCCGGACCAGTCCAACACCCCCCCCCCCTTCCCCCTATTGCACTGGGTATTCCTGCGGGGAAAAAATTGACCGGCCACCTCCAGCTGCGGTCCCTACCGGCTTGCCGCGCCAGGGCGATGGAAAGGGCCTTCTGGAACAAGACCTGAAAGCTAGCAAAGTAAACAACAACCGCTCGGCGCCCAGCAGAAGCTGGGCGTCCTGTGGCTCAAGCTTTGAAGGCGCTCGGCCTCGACACGTAGGTTGTTGCCCGCCTGGGCTTTGTATTGCGGAAGGTAAAGATGCACGTTCAGCGTCTAACTCGCAGTTTGCTGAACTGGATGGAAAGGCCAAAATAATCACAACAAGAAGGTCGTTTTGTTAAACTACCTGCTTGGCGTCGCGAGACCGTCGTGGAATTTTGGGTCGGGGTGGGTTTTGCGTCAGATGAATGAATAATGGTTTAGGGGTGGTTTAGGCTTGGTGGGGGGTGGTCCGGGGCTGGTTTTTGGCTTTGGCTTGAGATATTGGTTTTGGTTTGTTTCAGTATTTTTGTGAAGCCGTTTTTCGCGTCTTGGCTTGTTTTGCAATGTTGTCAACCGACTGAGGCAGCAGACAACCAGCCCAACCACAATCCTGAAAGCAACCCAGGTCTTCGCGATCATGCGGCTATCGCCAGAGCAAAAACACAAAGATATGCGCCTGTCTCAAATTGTCAGCACACCCATCTAATCAGATTGCTCGATTCGTGAGTTTCAGGCCACCAAAGAAGCCCATAGAAGTGCTGTCGCACTTCTTTCGCAGCGCATATGTTTTGTTGTTCAGACAGTTTTCATCCGCACCGCAGCCAATTTGGGCAACGAGATCAGTGGGATCCTCTTGATCCCGGCCATGCGCAGTGCTTTGCTTCTGCTTGGCCGCTTGCATTGGCTCAGAATGTTTGCGCTTTGACTCAAGCCGTAGTTTCCGCCGTCTAGAGTTTTATCTCAAGATATTGGCATTTGTGGCTGTGAGTGCTGCTAGTTGACTGTGAAAAGCCATGAGGCTTGCTTTGCGTGCAGCACGGCGAGTCTCTTTGCCTACCAGATGCCGTGCTTCCGCAGAGCCGCAAGAATTTGGTTTCTCGCTTCAGCTTCATCTGTTTACTTCTAGTTTCTACGTTCCCTCCAACCATGGAAGCTGATGGGAGGGTTTTGCAAGACATATTTTTCTTGTGGGCACCCCCCGTTGTCCAGCTCCATGATTGGACAGAGGGTAGCTGCCCCTTGGGGTGTGTGAGCTAGGTGAGCAATGGCGAGAGCTACCCGGTGGGCTTGTGGCCGGGAGACTGGGCGGCCGCCACCTTGGTCACCAAGCTGGTGAAGATCCTGACGGAGGAGGGGTCACACTTCGGCGCAAGTCTAGGTGATTCATGGGATGCCATGCAGCTGTATGTTTTTTTTGGATACACAGGAAGTCAAACTGTGATACGGATGGTTGCGCAATCCATTGCACGGGGCTTCACGAAGGATGCTCGGGTCTCCCCAATGACGAATAGTTTTTTTTGGGGGGGTTTAGCAAAACCAGGGCTCTTTTTGCTATCCCCTCAAGGCGGCAAATATCGGCGGCACCAAGGTCCAACCAGGAACTGGCCACATTTTTGACCTGACTCATGCCGACCTTCGTTTTTAGTCTGCGCGCGAGGAGAAGCTGGGTTTCAACGTGTCCGTGAATGGGCCAGGCGCGGACACACAATCAGGATTCTACGCGCTGATGGGCTGTGAAACTCCCAATTCCTTGGCGGATCGCGGCTGCGGCAAGTCCGCTGCGACTCGACCAGTTTTTGACGTGCTCGCACCGTCTGCATTACGCAACGGTATGAGCCCTTGACGTGCAAAACGACAGGTTGTGATTGGCCAGGAGCGTGAAACCCAGCATGTGTAGTGACGGAAGGTCCTTTGTCTGAAATGTCCTTTCTCACCCGACCCAGGTTCTGCTGAGCGTATTGTATGACTTTGATGTTCCATTTTAAGTCAGAGCAAAGTACCTGGGGCAATGTGGCCATGGGTCAAAATCCAAATCGTACACGAAGTGAACATCCAATTCAATCCAACCACCAAAATAGGTCCTAAAATGGGCGGTGAATTCACCTACCAACATGGGATCGGAGCCAAAACGGTTTTTGACCACCACAGCCATGTGAGGTTACCTACAACCATGCCAACCTGGAGGGATGGACTTACAGCTATCTCAACACCTGGGATTACTAGCAGGCGACATATCCATCCATAGCCCCTGTCAATTTGGGCAACAGCGGGGACAATGTATGTCTCATCTACCACATCAAGCAATTCCTATGGCAATGAAGGTCTGGCTCTTTCATACTATCGCAATTACAATGTCAGCTGGCATACACCATGGAAGTACTTCTCCGGCCTGGAGTCTGTGGACAGGAATCATTTGGCGCCGTGCAATCAAACTCGATTCTACTCCAGCAGTCAAGACATGAAGCTATATCGTGATCTCACGAACGATGCAGACGGGGTCGACCAGCTGCCGGATGGCACACCTGGATGCCGCGCAAACACGTCTCACTGCATTCCGTTCTTTACTGGGGGCACTGGCTGGAATATCGAGGAGATCGTTTCTGTGGCTTCGCGCATGCAACGCACTCACACGCATGTCCAGCCACACACAGAAAAAGCAAGCACAATAACACACACACAAGTGCAAATGCAAACACAAGCACAACACAACACAACACAACACAACACAACACAACACAACACAACACAACACAACACAACACAACACAACACAACACAACACAACACAACACAACACAACACAACACAACACAACACAACACAACACAACACAACACAACACAACACAACACAACACAACACAACACAACACAACACAACACAACACAACACAACACAACACAACACAACACAACACAACACAACAACCCACCCCAACCCAACCCAACCCACAACACAACGCACCACAACACACGCACAATCACACATTGACACAATCACACATTCAATGACACAATGACACACATACAAAGTTACACAGATTACACAGAATCCCACACACACACAGACACAAACACACAAACACACAAACACACAAACACACAAACAAAAACACAAACACACAAACACACAACAACACAAACACACAAACCCGCAAACACAAACGCGTAGCACACACACACACACACACAAAAACACAAACACACATACAAACACACAAACACACAAACACACAAAAACACACACAAACACGCAAACACAAACGCGTAGCACACACACAAACACACAAACACAAAACAGACAGACACACACACACACACATAGCTCGCAGACACACAAACACGCACAAACACACACACACACAAACACTCACAAACCCACAAACCCACACATACAAACAAACACACACACACACACACACACGCGCAATCACATACACACGCACACACACTCACAAACACGCACAGCACAAACACACAAACAAACACACCCACACACAAACACAGACACACACACACACACACACAACCTTGCAACCACAACACCACACAACCAACCACAAAACCACACGAGCACACGACCACACAACCACACAACCACGCAACCAAACATCCACACAATAACAAAACCTCACAACCACACAACCACACACACACACACCCAAATAAGAAAGCACACACACACACAGTTACACACACACACACCCACACACGCAGACGCACGAACGCACCACCCACGCACCAACGCAGGCACGCACGCAGGCACGCACCCAGGCACGCACGCAGGCACGCAGGCACACAGGCACGAACACATGTACCACAGAAAACGAGCTGGGTTCAGCAACGCGCGTGCAACTTGAAATGTGTGAGCTGCAACTTTCAAGATTTGAATCTCACCTTTTGTCAGGAGTGGATGCAAAAGTCCACCATTTGGAACATGCCCATTGCTGTGGCAGTGGCGGTAAATTGGAGTATGTTCACACAATTGCTTCTGATGCACGAGAGCAGTTTCTACTGGTGGACCCCGGATCCTACTTTTTTGGAGTTGCGCCCGCACGCGATTGTGTACCCGTTTTTCGATGAGGCGGCTTGGTCTAGAGGAGATATGAGGACGGAAAACTATTTGCAATCCATTGACAAGTACGTGAGCAAAGATTTGGCACTGCTGGCCCCGAATGTCCAGGAGCTGATTGCGAGTCTGGGCTTGACGTTGCTTAAGATGTTTCATGCAAGGCGGGTGGGGTAACAGGGCAACCAAAGGGACCACCAACCCTTCCTGAGGTCCCGCCAAAAAAGACACCCAGGTAAACTTGTGGCACACTTGCCGGGCAAAGATACTTGCCGTCAGCTGAGGAATTTCCGTATTGACTTGAAAGCTCTCAACTTTTTGCTGCTGGAGAACAAGGTATCTGGAGAAACCATAGAAGATACGGCTTGCAAATGGCTGAAGGACAATCCAGGCGGCCCGTAAGAGCAAAAGATGTAGACGGCCCGTTTTTTTTCTTCTTTTTTGTTCCTTTTCTTCTTCTTCTTCTTTTTTTTGTTGTTTCCTATTTTTTCCCTTTTCTTTTTTTCTTTTTATTACTATTATTATTTCTTTCTGCATGTTAATAAAAGGAAAGCGCTTTACACATGACAACCCTGTTTGCCTTGATGGTACGTGATGCAAGTTGCTTGCTGAGATGCCGTTGACAAAGTGGTTGCATGATACTGATGCAACATACATCCAGCATGCACGCAAAAGCAAACACTAGCAAACACCCGAAACAAGCACCAGCACCATCAATCATACTGTACAATCTACGTAGACACATACACACCCGCTGAGAGAAACAGAGAGATACTGGCGCACAGAGAGACAGAGAGAGAGAGAGAGAGACATAGAGAGAGAGACAGAGTCAGAAAGAGACACAAAGAGACGCAAAGAAACGCGGAGACTCACAGGCACACACGCACACCAACAGGCAAACAGAGAGACGCAGCCGCAGAAAGGGATACAGAGAGATCCAAAGAGGAAAAGAGAGAGAGAGAGAGAGTGAGAGAGATTAGAGTAGGAGAGACACAGGGAGACATAGAGATGCACAAAGACACACACACACACAGACAGACTTCAACCTGCAGAGGAATGGAGTGATTCAAATCGGCTGAAAAAGTGTCAGTTCGGCTCAGAGAAATTCGAGTTGGCCAGTTCGGCTGAAGCTTTACACATGGGCGGCACTCAGCCTTCACTCAAGGTACTTTAGCAGGGAAAACAGCCAACAGGATAGATCTTCAGGTCATTTTGCATTCCCACGCTTCTGGCCAAAGTAAAGCTTCGTCGGCAAGGGCAAGTTAGCTGCATGGTAAGCACGTGCTACCAAGCCTTACCTCATCCAGTCCCTCAAGTACCGGCGAGTTCCCGAGCTCGGCTGGCCGCGTCGAGCCGAAAAGGGGAAAACTTCGAGAGTCATGGACGTGGCTTTTGAAGATTCTTGGCAAGTCGAGCCCAAAGCTGACGTGTTACCAAAACCATGCTCGAGTGCCATGGTCAATCGCAAAGAGCCCAACTACAATCCAACCTCTCCGGAGAGTCACGAGCAGTACAAGAGCGAGAAATCCAGCAGCTCACTGTTTCAGCGGAGATATGTATTCCAAATTGGTAGGCGAAGTTGCCACAAAAATCCGCGCAGAACAACGTGGCTGCTCTGCCTTCGTCCCAACTGATCGAATGCTACCGCAGACTCGTTTTCGAACGTCGGGGGCCGAAGAGAAGCCGCCGCGCAGAGGGGCGGGCGAAAAAGGGAGACGAGAAAAAGAGAGACAGAGACATAGTGGCACACCCAGAGACACAAAACGACACAAAGACATAGTAATAATATGCATGAGTTTCTGGCTCAAAGCTTGCTGATTCATGAAGAAAGGGAGGGAGGAGAGAAAGAGAGAGACGCAGAGAGACGCAGTTAGACAGAAATGTCAAACTACATGCTTCACTTCTTGCACTTGTGTTGCATGCATGTACACTACTGCAGGCCTTGAGCTTACTACGACTCCATTAGTGAAAAGGTTGGCAGCTGCAGATTACATTGGTTTATGTTTGTGTCAAAACAACAGCACGTGCACTTGTAGTCAAAGTAACAACTGATTTAACGTGGTAGCGGAGCTGAGATCCTAAACATAGGGGAGCTCCAGTATTCCGCAGTAAGTACTATACTACAACAACTGCAACAGCAATCGCATGCCAAACTACTACGACATGTCAGGAGAAGCAGCATCAGCCTCAGCACAGCAAACTACAGGAGCAGAGAACGGGCCAACAGCAGAAACAGTAGGAGCCACGACTACGGGAGCAGGAGCAGAACAAGACAACGACGTTCAAGAGACTACATCGATACAAACTGCCACCACCCTTCTTCACTGGTGACTACTGGGAGTAGTCTACTCCCAGTATGAAGAATGGCTGTTCAAACTACAAGCACACCTCGGCCTCATAGACCGAGACTTCGACCTGGTGCTACAACTAGCACAAGTAGCTACACGACAGACTGAGGACACAGACATCAGAACCAACATACTCGATCCTACACAAGCAAGTAAGCAGTAGACCTCTCCAGAGATCTACACTACATCCTCATCAACATCTGTCAGGGAGCAGCAGCTACTCTAGTAAGGCGAAACCGCTACAACGCAAGCGGATGTAGAAACACTGCGACTCCTGCGCAACAGGTTCAGCCTACCAGTAGGAACAAGAAGCGTTGTCTACCTCACCAAGCTACTGGAACCTACATTCAATGAGGCGCAGTTTGAAGAGCAATTCCTACAATGGGAATACGACATCGACCGCTACGAGAAAGACAACGGCACAGCACTACCAGATGGAATAAAAATCGCAATACTGCTCAACAAGACCAAAGGAGCACTGCAGCAACATCTCGAACTGCGAGCTGGACAGATCACGAACTACATCGAGTCATCTTGGGCAACTGCAAGACGGTTTCAGCTTTCTCAAGATCGACTTCAGCAGTAGGCACAAACTACAATGGAGGAGCTGCACCAATGGATGTTGACAAAATATGGAGGAAAGGAAGAAACTACAAAGGCAAAGGAAAAGGCAAAGGCCACTACAAAGGAAGCAAAAGCAAAGGCAAGTACAGGAGCAAAGGACACTACAAGGGATTCGACAAAGGTAACAAAGGAAGCTACAACACAACAAGAGCAAAGGAAAAGGCTACTCAGGATCCAAAGGGTATAGGTCAAGCAAGGGCTACAAAGGCCAGGGAAACTACAGCAAAGCAAAAGGAAAAGGAAGCAACAACTACATGACATGCCACCGATGTGGCAAGCCTGGCCATTGGGCACAGGACTGCAGAGTGCCGGTATGGCGCATAGGAGAAGGAGAAGAACCACATCCGCTAGAACAAGAACAAGCAGATCAGGACAACAATGAAGAACTACCTCAGGATGTGAACGACACCTGGGACTGGTACTACGAAGGAGAAGAAGGACAACACGAGGTAAACTACATGGAGGAGAATTGGAACGACTACGACAATGACATCAGCTGGGATTGGAATGATAACAGCTATGAAGATACGGCAAACTACATTGGAGGCATCAACGGGTCACACATCACCAGTGGACACATCAGGCAAGAAAAGTCAATACTACACAAGCGTAAATCCAAACCACCGCTTGGCCAGAAAACAACACACACAACATCATGGAACGACCACAGCAAGAAATTTCAACAATTCCTCCAAGAAGGGACGACGCAACTACACTTCGACATAGCAGCAGCAACACAACAGCAAAGGAACAAGAAGATTGAGGACACCATCACACACTACATCATGTACTCCAACTTCAAGTCATACCATCACCTGCTGATTGACTCAGGAGCATCTGCACATGTTTGCCCGAAGGACTACGCACCAGACTTACCGCTACGACCTTGGGGAGAATCAGTTCCACAACTCTACACGGGTAACCAACAAGAAGATTCCTGTCTACAGCATCAAGTATGTTTCCTACAAACAGGACAACTTCAGGATCATGATACCCTACTACGTTTGTGATGTGAAGTATATCCTCAGCGCATCAAGACTACTTGATAGAGGATATGGACTTGACTTCAATCCACAACACTGCGCCATCACACATGGACCACAACAAGCGCACCTCATAAGACACTCAGGGCTCTTCTACCTACGAGCAGAGAAGATCGACATCCTTACAGGATTCGACATCTACCCAATGACTACAAACAGTGGAAAATCCATTGCTGTGATTGAACCTACAGAGAAAACAAAACAACAACAAGAACAAATTGCACCACTACACACACACACAGACCAAGGACTGCGACAGATCCTTGGTGGAAACACTGACTACTGAAAACTTGATGGTGATTACGCCGTCAGAGTTCACAAACGACCACGCAAAATCCTAAACAACTTTCCAAGCAAGAACTACAACAAAGACTAGAAGGCGACAACTGGACTGGAGAAACCAGATTCAGAAGAAAGATAACACCTACACGCAGAGCAACATCAAAGACCACACCAACAAGGCAGAGCTCACAACCACAACGGCTAATGGACACACCACCAACCAGATCAAAGATCCAACTACGAGCACCAAAGAATATGGAGAGCTTTAGGCAGCACCTTCTACAGATCTTGACACCGCGCAACCAAAGAAGACAAGACACAGACCACTCACAGCTCAGGAGCTACTGGGAAAGACAAGGTGAACACTGGATAAGACACCACACAACCCTTTAGAACTACACTATTGACTCCAACAGATGGACCAGGACATCCACCCATCAGCACACTTGAGCCTCACAGAACGACAATCACTCGCAACAACTTTGGAGAAGTTTCACAACGCAAAGACGACTGGACAGTCATGTACAACGCAGCGCTACCATTTCAATGGAAAGGAACAACAAGGTTCACAGTGAAGAAAGACTACGAGTACATCCAGGAGAACCACGACGAGGAACGACAACACGAGCATCATGAAGCACACAGAGCAAGAGGACTAAGATAACCGCAGCAGCCAACTCCACAACAAATAGCAGAACTCAATCTGACACAGCTACCATACAGAAACTGGTGTCCAATTTGCGTTGAAGGCAAGGGGCACCAAGACAACTACAAGAAACAACAATCATGACAACCCGTCATTCAAGTAGACTTTGCCTACATCAAATCGCAATAAGACCCAAAGGCCATACCAGTACTGACAGCAGTTGATGTTACTACACAACTGTGTATGGCAGTAGTGGTCCCAGACAAACCATCGATGATGGACTACATGATCAACAACCTACAAGCATTCATCTTTGAGCGCGGAAGAACACAAGGCGTACTACAAGGCGACAACGAAGACACACTCAACGCACTTCTAAAAGCTACAGCAGCCAAAGTTGGCTCAATGACTGTTCGACATGCGCCCTCCTACAGCAGCAACAGTCAAGGAAGTGTTGAACGACTACACCGAACACTCCTTGGACAGGTACGCGTCGTCAAAGCGCAAGTTGAGACTTTTGCCAGGACAACATGATGGGCCTGGTGAGCTTTGATCAAGGAGCGGCGGGCCATCCGAGGAGAAAACCCACCACGCTGGCAACCAATTTGCCAGGCATGGGGGAGCTCCACGGAATGAAGGGTCAAGGTCATCAGGAAATGGAGGACTGGTGGCGGCCATCAAGATGTCCCTCAAGGAGCTCATTGGGAAGCTGGACGAGCGGAAGGAGGAGAAGAAATTGGAGACAGGGGAACTCAAGAAGATGACCCTGGAGAAGTGGAAGCAGCACGGTGGGCGGGGCCATACTCCGTTCAATCGACGGTGCGGCATTTGTATGCAGGAGGCTGGAGTGGACCGGCCCCATCGGAGATTGAAGGCGGACATTCCGTCCTATGTCCTCAATGTGGACATCGCTGGGCCATTTTCGACAGAGGAGGATGTCGGAACGGGCAGAAAGGTGAAGTACGTGCTGATTGGGACCGTCCCAATCCCGATTGGAGCTGGGGATAAGGAGCCTTCAGAAGCAGCAGAGCCGGAAGAGGAAGACCCAAATCCAGCAGATTGGGAAGAGGAGGATGATCAACCCCGTGCATCAGATGAGGAGGCCAGAAGGCTCAACGACAAGGTCAAGGACGAGATGGCCGACGCTATGAAGGGCGTGACGGTACAGAACGTAACGATGGTGGAGGTTATGGAATCAAGGAGCGCCAGAGAGGTCATCAGGGCCATTAGCCTGATCTTTGTGAAGTATCGCAGCCCGGGCATCCCGCTGTACCGCATGCATTGCGATCGGGCGAAGGAGTTCCTGGCAAGGCCGGTGCAGCAGTGGTGTTTAGAGCGCAATCTGTTGCTCACCATGACGGCGGGCGATGACCACGCGGCCAATGGACGAGCGGAGACGGAGGTCAACCAGGTGAAGAGAAGGCTGCGTGTGGTCCTCAAGGACTCAGGGGCTCCAGTGAAGCTGTGGCCTACAGCACTGCGACATGTGGTGCTCCAAAGGAACCAGGATGCAACTCCAAAGACTTGGGGTGGACACCTTCCCGATGCTCCCGTTCTACTCTAAGGTGATGGCAAAGACCAAGCGGTGGCATAAGAAGGGCCCCCTGGCCCCTCCATTTCGAGAAGTACGCCTGCTGGGCCCGAGTCCAATGATGAGTTGGGGCTGGGTGGTTCAAACAGAAGACGGAGAGCAACTACGGCATGACAATGTCCACGAAGCGTTGTCTACTACCTTGGATAGTACGACATGCAGCATGGACGGTACATCGCTACGTCATCCACTCAGACGGCTACACAAGCTTCGAACGCCGCTGGGGAAGAAACTACGAGCGAGCAATTTGCGAATTTGGCGAGACACTACTTTATCTTCCACCACAACACAAGAAACTAACCGGCATGACCAGAGTTCCCTGGTCAGAATCAAGGCATAAAGGATCAAGTCAGAATGGATCAAGGCATAAAGGATCAAGGCTTAAGTCGCTCACAGCCCAAGATTGAGCAACCAGGTCAGATGGATCAAGCGCCTCGTGGAACCCTGGGTGGATCGAGGCTTTTTTTGAATCACGTCAAAGCAGTCAGGGCTGATGTTGACATAGTAGGCCTCGCAAGAGGCTCACGACTGCTCCGCGAGCGGTAGGTCCAGGGACCACGCAGCCGGGAAACACACACTGTGAAAAGCTCCCCGTGAGGAGTAGGTGAAGGTAGTAGCGGCTCATTGTGCCAAGTCGAGCTAGTGCACGGAGGTATGAATTACCAAAAAAACTTGCAGGTACGTTTTCCCAGGATCGGTGTGGTGGCTTCGTTGGACAGAGACCAACACCGTCCTCTCTGCCCCCCTGCTGTTTGAAAAAAGCCTTTGGTCTCAGGCTGTGGCACACACACACCAAACACATATGGGCCACAATCAAAACCCGGGTAGATGAAGGTTAATAAGGGGCAGTCCCAGCCAGAAATAGTTGCGGCCGCCCTCTTGATTCTTTATATGGGTCTCGGTAGATCGGGTTTTGATTGTGACTCATATGCACACACACACAAACAGGCAAACACACATGCACACACACACAAACAGAAACACACGCACGCACGCACAAACAAACACAAACACTCAAATACAAGCGCACGAACGCACAGACACACAGACTCACGTAAGCACACGCAGACACACCCACCCACCCACGCACGCGCCCGCCCCAGTGCCCGCGCCCGCCTGCGCACGCGTACGCGCACACACACACACACAGACACGCCCACACACAACACAACACAAACGCAAAGACACAACCGCAGCCACACACACACACACACACACGCACGGTGGCACCTTGACCTCACTTTTGTGGTCCAGCCAAGTTTTCTCCATTCTTTGGTTGCCCATCGTAGGTCTGGTTTCTTGGTCTGGCTTGCGAAACACATGAATCCTCAAAGACCAACATTCTTTAGGTGAATCTCAAGCAAAGTCCTGAGGGAGGTGAGGCATGAACTGGTTGACTTCTAGCCAGGAGTGTGGCTGCGATAGCTGAGGATATCTGTCTCTGTGGTTCTCGTGATGTTTTTTTGCCTTCAAGCAGTCATGTGGCCTTGGAAAGTTGCTTTTGTATCATTCTGCGTCCTGGCAAGGTCTAGATGCAGTTTCATCTAGTGGTTGCTCAAGCAGCAGTACGCTTCAAACCTTTGCAGGAAATTCGAGTTTACGCGGGGGTGGCAGTGCTTGGCAGTTCTGGGTTGAACTGGTTTCTTGGATTCACGACAAAAGTCATCAAACGTCGCAAAGAGGGGCCTCCCTTGAGGCTTGTGATTTCATCCTCTCTTCACTTGGACCACAGCCCGGAGCAGTTCCAGGACTTCGCACAACTCTTCTCCACAGCCGCCTTCCTCATCTATGTGGCTGTTGTTTTTTTAGTTGGGGACCCTTTGGTGGATGTCCACCAACCACATGTGAGGTCGTTCCCTACTAAAACTCACGGCCATCTATTTGTGTGTCTTGTGGATCTTCGTTGGCAAGTAGCTCAGAGCGTACCAGCGGAGCCGAGGTTGTCATGAGCCTCATCGGTGGAGCTTTGTTGGTGATGGCATTCATGACGCTAACAGCGTTAACTTTGCGTTCGGTGTAAAGCGCCCCCCAAATGTCCTGCAGAAATTTGGGGGGGACTTCATCGAGAAAACGGGTGAAGCAATTTGGGGGTCAGATTGGCCTCCTCCAAGTTTTGTATTGGTTTAGTATTGGTTAAGTATTGGTTTAGTATCGGTTCGTGTTGGTTTAGTATTGATTTAGTGCCTTAGTACTGGCTTAGTATTGGTTTAGTATTTGTGTTGTATTGGCAAGATTGTGTTTGTCCAGACAAGATCCGGCTACATTCCAACCCTTCGACAGCGCATGTATGTTATGTCGGCTATGTGTGAATTGAGCGCACCATTTGCGTACATGCTTGAGTGAGTTTCATTGCAGTCCGGATTCGTGCTTTTTCCCTCTCCTCCCCCCACATTTTTTCTTGGCATAGCAACTGTTGAATGTGCGCAGAGTTTAGTTTCTGTGCTTCCCAGTAATTATTTGAACAGTTTACTTTCTTTATAACCTGACCTGTAGTCATTGTCCCATCTCTCTTCTTGTCCACTAGTTTGTTATTCAAAGTGCTGAGCAAGTCAGATCTCAAAATCTTTTCGGTACCTCTTTTCATCTTGGGGGATAGGGACTCATATTGCCCAAGCTTGGTGTCTGGTGATGAAACACCTGGCGCCCCGAGTGGCGAGCCAAAGCCCTGGCGACCGCGATGGTTTGCGAGCAAGAGTCCTGGACTCTGGCTTTACTGAGTCAATTCGGTCTGAGCAAGCTGCCCGTTTGCCATGCAGCAAACCCAGAGGGAGGCTGGACGGAGTTGTTCCGATTGACTGACCAGTCATCCTAGGCCGCTGCGGCATTTTCCGGGAGGTGCACTTGGCGCATCGATGTGCCGGAAAAGGTTCACCTTGGATGCGAAGTCTGCCAGCAAGAGACCAAGTCAGCCTGGCGGCGTGTGTTCCAACCTTGGCACAGGCTTTGCGACCGAAGGAGCAGGGATGGGAAGTGCATGTTTCTGGTGTTTTGTTTCCGCCCTGCACAGAGCCGCTTTACCTTGGCACATGGAACCAACATCCACTAAAGCCTGCGGTGTCCGGCTGGTCCCTTTATCATGAGTTCGTGGTGTAAGAGTGTTGTGCCAGCTTTCTTGAACGGCGCGCGAGTCTCCAAAAATACCGCGGCAGCTTGACAGTCTCAAGCCGTGGCCAGCACAACTTGACAACTACCTTCACTTTTCCCAAGTGCCCACAGAGTAAGAGCTCGGAGTAGTACCTTGGAAGAAGCTGAGACACCCGCACAAGGACATGAAGCAAAGCGCAAACACACTCGAGCGCTTTTCTTGGAGGTTTCCCTGCCTTAGACAGCTTTCCAGTCAACAGCTCTGAAAGATTAGTGAAAAAAGTCGAGTCGAGTTCCGCCATGGCCGACTCAGACTCGGAAGAGAAGGATTGGGCTTCCGAGGACGAAGATGTGGGCTCAACCTCCAGATCTGGCTATGCCAGCGGGCCTCCTAGGCCCGGCCGCAGCATGGGTCGGGGCTTGTCAGCGGTGCTGCCGCAGCATGTGCGGCCGCAGATTCCCGCCGACGGCAACCCAGACCAGATTCCCATTCTTTGAAGGGCCTTTCCATCCAAAACTAACTACTTGATACAGTTAGCAAGGTTTTGCAATTTTCATGTTTCTATTCAATTTAGATACAACATCAATTGCATTGGTACAAACCGACAACACGTTTGCTTTCTTCCCATGGAATCTGAGCTGAGGCAAAGGCACATTCCCACTGGAGCAGGCTTTGCCAAAAGCGCCTGCCGACGATCCTCTGCAGTGGCACGACCCTTGGAGTGTCGCAGCAGGGAAAGGGCCGGCGAGGCAGAACGACCCGAGACCTGCATTTGCGACCGAAGGCAAAGGCACCTTCACCAAATCCGAGTATTCCAACTCCGGAAGTGAGCGGCCTTCTGGTGCAGCTGCCACTGATCCTCTCTGGAAGGACGATCCGTGGAGTAGAGAAGCAGGCAAGCAGGCCACTGGCAAAGGGCGGCCAGCGCCGCAGAGCAATACGCCACCTGCGTTTGCGACTGGAACCGAAGGCAAAGGAACCTTCGCGGGGTCAGAGTATTCGAATTCCGGAAGTGATCGCCGTTCTGGTGCAGCTGCCACTGATCCTCTCTGGAAGGACGATCCGTGGAGTAGAGACAAAGGGGAGCCGCCAGCAGGCAAGCAGGTTACTGGCAAAGGCCAGCCAGCGCCGCAGAGCAATACGCCACCTGCCTTTGCGACTGGAACCGAAGGCAAAGGAACGTTCTCGAGGTCAGAGTATTCGAATTCCGGAAGTGAGCGCCCTTCTGGTGCAGCTGCCACTGATCCTCTCTGGAAGGACGATCCGTGGAGTAGAGACAAAAAAGAGCCGCCAGCGGGCAAGCAGGCCACTGGCAAAGGGCAGTCAGCGACGCAGAGTAACACGCGACCTACGTTTGCTTCTGAAACCGAAGGCAAAGGCACCTTCGCAAAGGAGTATTCGAATTCCACAGGCACTGATCCTCTGTTGCTGGACGATCCATGGAGTCGAGCAGCCGGCAAAGGGCCGGCAAAGGGGCCAGGCTTTCCGGCGCGAGAGGGCAAAGGCGGCTTCAGTGAAGCGCCTTTCGCCAATGGAGACCGGTCCAAAGCTCCGCCCTCCGCCGACCCGCAGGCGACCACCTCGTCGCCTTTCGGGTCCCGGCCTAGGCCCAAACCTCCGCCTCCTCCGCCGCCGGATAGCCCAGAGAAGCCGAGAGAAGCCCGGTCCACTTCTTGCTCTCATTTGCTGAAATGAATATATATATATATATACATATATATATATATATATATACATATATCTTGTTTTCCCCTGTTGGTTTTAAAGGGAATCGATTTGACTACTGGCATTTTTTTGTTTGTTTGTGGTCTTCCTTTGAACTCAAGCCCCATTCTTTTTTGATTCAAACACTTCCCCTTTGAGGCGTGGTTGCTTCAAAAGCTAATCAGACGAAGGGGTGCCATATCTCTTTTTCCAATGGACATCCGCGCTCAGGAAGGCTCGCGCTGGGGAGGGCGGACGGAGAAAGTGGAGCGGGGCCGAGAGGCTGGCAGCTCTCATGAGGCGCATCGGAAGGACCGGGGACCTCGCGTTCGTTTTTGGAAGTCAGTTGTTTTTTCTTTTGAGGCACAAGCAAAACCTGGGTAGATGAAGGTTAGGAAGGGATAATTCCACGTAATAGGTTTTGATCGTGACTAGTTTCTCCTTGAACTCATCCAACAAGGCACCCATATTCTGAGAAATACCCATTTTCAGTCGTACTCCAGGCTTGGACTGTCGACTTGCTAGCTGTTGCTTGGAAGGGAGCCGTTATGGAGCAGGGACCCGGCATCCAAATTTGCTCTTAAAGAGGGATCCTTTCACAGGGCTCCTTAAAAGATGCATTTTGCCCATTTGAAACGTGGCTTTTGCCACGGAAAATAAAAAGGATCGCCACCCTTGACACGGCAATGCTCAGGTGTATAATGCATCCGGATCCCTGTTTCAGAGCCGATCGGAGTTCTCTGAGGATAGGCTTGGTGGCTTCCAGCCACCTCAGCTCAGCTTGAGCTACACCCATTCGGTTGAAACACAAACCAAACTTTGGCTGTCCGCTTTCCGTTAGTTCGCCAAAGGTGACTAACTTTCAGTGCGTGAAATGCGGAAACCCAACCACTAAGCCAACTCACATTACACGACCTTATATTTCTAGATCCTTTGAGCAAGTGAGGTGAGGATATGTTAGATTGCTATGGGTCAAAATCAATCCACCACAACACCGCGGGTTTAGTCTTTGGTTTCCATTTACCAGGGTTCCCCAAATGGGGACCATTTGTTTGTGACCCACACCCAGATGTTGGCTGCTTTGAGGAGTGGGTGCAGCTCGTGAACAAGGCTCATCCGCGTGCCCCGCTCTCCGTGGAGGTTACGGGCCCTTCCATGTGCGAGGGCTTCGACCAGCACGTGCCTGTCTCTCCAGAAAACTTGTTTTTCGTTTTTTTTTTGTTGTTGTTTTTTTTTTCCTTCCTTTTTTTTTTCTCCCCCTACAAAAATATATGCCTTTTTTTCACTACGCTGGAACCCAAAAGCGCGAGTGTGTCTGTACCCATTTTGGTTGGGATTTTAAGGGACACCAACACGAACACCAGATGTTTTTCAGGGGAAAACGGGTTTGCCTTTGTTTCTTGGGAACCCTCCTTTGGTTAGCTTTAAAAGGAACCCACCATGACAACCATGCTTTCTTGGGTTGGGGGGTGCCCCAAAAACTGACGCCCAATATTTTGTATTTTAAGGTTAGCGATATGAGTCTTGAGCACCAGCAAGAAAGGGCACCCTCAGCAAAATTGCACAGCTCCACTGAAACAGAATCAGAACATATGGGAGTTGATCAAAAGCTCCTTTGCATGGGATGACCGTTGGGGAAGCCCACTAAAAAGATACTCATTCCCACTAAATGGGAAAAGTTACTCATGGCCATTTGGGGCCGAAGGGGATATTGATCAAGCCCACATTTTTCGTTTTTCGGACCCTGGAGTTCCCAGGTGCGTCTACTCCTGTACGCATACAAGGGATATGGCTACGTGCGGTCCTTGCAGCCCCAGCTTCCAGCAGAGCGCCTCCACTTGCATTGGGTGGTGTGATCCAAACCCGACCCTCTTCAGGTCCTTGCCGATGTTATCCCAAACCTCTAGAAACGGATTTGGCCGCCTTCTTTTGTGGAGATTTTGCCTGCTCTTCGGGTTTGGACCATTTTAGCACCGTTTAGACGTTGTTTTGCCCAGTCCTCTCAGGAAGTGAGTCCGAGGCTATCCCAACCAATCTTCTAGGGGGCGTTTCTCAGGTGGAAGGGGCGCCAACAGAACTGGAATTGCACGGCGGCCCTTTTGGATCTTTCTTCCTCGTGGAAGGGAGACTCTGTGCCAAGCCATGATTGCTGGTTTCCAGGTGCCCAACTAGTTTCATGCCAGCATTGAAACGGGCAGCTCGAAATCAAGACACCAATCAATGTATTCCCCAAGCCACCTTTTTACTAGTTTGTTCTCAGTTTCTGAAAGACATTTCTTGGTTACATCTTATTGCATCTTATCCCCAAGGCAATCTTTCTCATTTTTGTCTCGAATTCGACTCACAACCAACCTTGTTGGGAGTTGGTACTTTTTGGGCTTGAGCTTAAGGGGAGCCACATCGTGAAGCGCACATTTAGTTTTTCCGAAAACAACCCTATTTTCCATTTCCCATCCTTGAACACTTCCTTTTGTCAGGACTTTCCCCAAAAAACAACGTTTTTCCGCTATCCAAAACAGGTTTTTGGAGATTGAGTGCAATTCCCCCAGCCACCTTTTTTCAGGTGTATTTTTCCAACCACCTCCTTTTTTAGCCGCTTTTATTGGATTCCCCCAAAGACAGCTTTCCCACTCGCCAAACATCTGCATTGATTCTGGTGATTCTGTTCGCAGATGTCGAAACCAGATCTGGGGTCTTGGAGCTCTATGACTTTTCAGTCCCGACTGGCCAAAAGACGGTCCGTCAACCAACCAAAGCTCGTTCCAGGGGAAAAAACCCCGCGGGGGTTGATTGAAAACGCCAGGCCAACGGTACCAGCACAAACATTTTAGGCACCGAGACCCTGGGGTTCAACCCCCGTTGATCCAATTTCGATGATGACACTTAGGCCAAACTGGGCTGTGGCTAAAAAACAATCGGAATTCCAAAATGGGTTGCCCTGGTAAGTGGAGACATGGACCGAAACCTGCGGTCTGCTCCTGGTGAAATTTTGAGCCACACCCAAGTAATGGTGGTTCTGCTAACGGTGGTATCTCAGCCCCAGGGGTCACCAAGTCGATCTCTGTGAAATTCAACTCAATGTACCTGCGGGCAACGGTCATCTCTTCCTTGCAACCCCAATGTTCTGATTTTAGTTGGTGATTCTTCTACCCCAATGGATGTCTGAATTCCCTGCTTTTGACCATTGTCTTTGTTTCCGTTGTTTCCTTTTGGAGGTGCTGGGGTCATTACTCTGACCGTTTCTGGGGGTTATCAAAGTCAGAAACTGGGTGGTTTCCCTTCAACCTACTACTGCACGGGGGTGACTTTGAAAATGGTACAATGGGTTCATTCGACGGGTTCAACCCAGAGGTTACTGGGAGGGTTGATCCACCACCCCATGCGCTAGAAGATGTTGGGGCTTTGGCCGAACCCCTTGGGGCAGAACATCTAGGGGCCTCGGGGAATTCTTGGGGCAGAAAAATGCGGTCGTTTGCGTCATAGGCAAATCGTTGGGTGCATCGTTTGCGTCATCTAGGGGCCTCGTTTGCGTCAGAGGTGGGTGCCGCTGTCGCAGCTGCGGCCGCTGCCGCCCTACGACTTCCTGATCCAGGCGCCTCTGGCGCCCGATCGCGCCGTGGGGCTGATCAGCCGCGCGGAGGAAAGAGATGTGGGGGATGGTTGGGGATGGTTGGGGATGGTTGGGGATAAGAAGAGATTGGGGTGGTTTTGGGTTTTGGTGGTTTTGGTTTTAGTGGTTGGTTAGGATTTGGCTGGTGTGTTTGGGTGGTTTTTGGTTAGGATTTGGTGGTTTTGGTTTTCCACACAGCCTGTGTCATGCTGTTGAGCACTAGCAAGAAAAGGTCGGCCTTCTTTTTGTCGCCGCGCGTCCGGCCAGGAAGGGTTCAGCTCCAAAGGGCTGCCAACAGACTTCTCTTGGAGTCTCGAAACCGATGCAAACAAAGGTTGATCAGGCCTTCCCCGGGCGAGGGCATCCGTTGGCAAGACAATTTTTCTCCCTCACCTTCACCTTCCCGAATCGGGTTATCGGGTTTGACGCGGCGCGCTCCGTCAAGATCCCCATCTCAACTCCCGGTTGAGCCTCGCGCGACTGTGAAATGTCCGGGGGAACGGTGGATACAACACAAGCAAAGGTCCAGAGGAAATGACTACTTCCCCCCCAGTGCACGTGCCGCCTGTGTGCTGTTGCCCCATATACATGCCAGAAAGCTTACCTTTGGGGGTTTGGTTTTTAGTGGTTGGTTGGGATTTGGGAGGTTTTGGTTGGGATTTGGTCGCTTTGGTTGGGACTTGGATGGTTTTGGTTTTATTTGCGTGGTTTGGTTTTGGTGGTTTTGCTTTTAGTGGTGGGTTGGGAATTGGGTGCTGTACTTGGGGGTTGGTTGGTGGTTTTGGTCGGGATTTGAGTGGTTCTGGGTGGGATTTGGTGGTTTTGGTTTTGCCGGGTTTGGTTGGGATTTGGGTGAAACATTGGGCCAAATGAGGCTCTTTTCTGGGTGTGTCTTTTTTGAGTACCTGTTTCTTGGTAGTTTCAAAAGGAAGCCACGGGAAAACCGAGGGACAACCAAAAATCACCAGGGGGAAAAAGTAGTTCACGTCTCAAATACGTCGACAACTGTTGTGTGCCTGTCTTGGCCTTGGGCCTATGGGCGTCCAAATGTTTGGCAGGTTTGGCCTGATGTTTGACTCGCAAACGAGGCTGGGCGACATGCAGGTTACGGGGATCTCTGGAGTTTGGTTAGACCTATGGGAGGGGCTGGGTGTTGTGGCAGTATTTTTTGAGCCATGAGCTTGCAACGAGTGCCCCTCTTTCGACCAAGAAGGAAGTAGACCTGAGACAAGGCCGTGAGGCTGTGGTCGAAAATCGGGGGTGACCCCAAAACCAGTTGCCCAAGTGGTAAATGGAAACAAGGACTCGAGCCGGTCCAATTGGAGCAGCCGCGGGCTGAGGCGAACCCTTCGAGCTCTCTCCGGAGGTCACGGGGCACCTGGTGATTCACATCCAAGAAGCGCTTTGGCGTTGTCCTTTCCGCGGGTTGGGGGGGTTGGGTTTGGGGACTACAGCGCCACCCCAAACAGTTGAACGCCCCCCCCAAACCGTTACAAGGGTGCCTCTTGTAAGGGTTCCATTTCTTTTGAAGCGCTTGAGGGTTGGCACCTTACGCGGCTGGGCAGTTGTTTCTTTGTTTGTGTGTCCTTTCACCTTCTTTACCTTCTACGCTTGCACACTTACTTGGGATCGCACGAGCCTTTCCTTGTTTGTGTGTCCTTTCACCTTTCACATTCTTCAGCTTCTCCACTTGCATCTCAGCTTCCTTCTTGCGTCGCAGGACACACGCGACGTTTTGGAGTGTACATTACTGGAATCACGAAGCAGCGCTGGCCTGGACCCAAGCCGTTGTTTCGTCGCGCACGGAGCCGAGGAAGGCCGTGCGCCTGATTGCAGGCAAGCAGCGTAGGGGAACTCCAGTAAATTGCGACTTTTGAAGGCACCCCTCTAAAATATGAAGCCGTTGTGGGGAGTGATGCCGTCGGTCAAGCAAGTCGCCTTCGCGGCCAACTAGACTTTATTGCTGGATGCTTGGATTTGGAGAGCTTGCCCCATTTGGAGATCCACCTGTAAAAGCCATATGGCAAATTCAAGAACTGGGATTCCCAAATTCCAAAAAAAATCAAAAGACGACCTTGATTCGGCGAAGTTGCCCAACAGACGAGGTTGATTTGTCGAGTTTGTTTTTTTTTTTAATCTGGGGCTTCCAAGCCCCAAAGCGTCTTCCCGTAGGCCTGCAGAACGTCCGGTGCAGGCGGCGCTGGGTGGGGGTTTTCTGGCTGGGTCAGGGACTAGGAGATGTCTTTGCAGATATGGGCCAGCTATTTGGTCAGGACAATGCGGCAACCTCAGTTGCATTTAGTAGGACGCACAGTGCATGGATTAGGACGCAGAGCGCGTTGATTCAGCTGGTAGGTCAACGACGTATTGAGGACGCACGCAAGGCTCCAAAGGAAGGTGGATGAAAGGAATCGGCGCGCCAGGCGCGCAGGGTGTATAGGCTTGACAGGTTTGCAGCAGGTGCTATGTCATGTATATAGTGCAGAACAGAGCGTAGTCAGGATGGCAAGCCGGACTATGAAATGGTGAGTGGACTGCTCCTGGCGAACGCTGAGAATGTTGCGGCCTCAGTTCGCAGTGGCGCACATCCGAATCCGCGGGAGAGCGTGATTTGGCAGGCGGCAGCCATGCCCAGAGACGCCAGCGTGAAGGGATTGAGCGACTGGATAGATAAGCACGGCCCGATGCGTCACCAGGCGACATTGTTTGCGCAATATCCTTACTACATGATTCTCAACAGTCCAAATAATTTGGGCGGGGCATCACATTTGGATATTTCGGAGGACTCCAGACTTCAAACGATGAGGCTTTGCGGGCCCAACATTATGAGGCTTTGGGGGCTCCAGGATCATCATCATCATCATCATCATCATCATCATCATCATCATCATCATCATCATCATCATCCATCATCATCATCCATCATAATCATCCATCATCATCATCCAGCATCGCGTGGACAATTTTGTCCATGCAGGATTTTGCATGGACGGCAACTTTGTCCACGCAGGATTTTGTCCCGAATGAGGATGAGGGTGAGGATGATGAATGATTAATGATGACAATGACGATGATGCATGATGAGGCAACGCATGATGATGCTGACGATTATGATGCATCATCACCACGCATCCCCAACATCACCAGCAGGGACGATGATCACCCAAACTCTCACACAGTCGACTTACACTCACTGACTTGTCAACTTACACTCATTCATTGACTTTGTCATACTTACTCTCACACACTCAACTTACGCTCGCTGACTTTGCCACACTAACCTTGTCGTACTAACTCTCACCACCCCTCCCCCCTACCCACCTCCACACCCTTCAATGTGAAAGTGTACTTCGCGTACTAGACTTGTACTGCAAAGTTGCGATTTTAGAGCTGGAGCTGCGGAAGTGTACTTCGCGTACTAGACTTGTACTACAAAGTTGCGATTTTCGAGCTGGAGCTGCGGAAGTGTACTTCGCGTACTAGACTTGTACTACAAAGTTGCGATTTCGAGCTGGAGCTGCGGAAGTGTACTTCGCGTACTAGACTTGTGCTACAAAGTTGCGATTTTCGAGCTGGAGCTGCGGAAGTGTACTTTGCGTACTAGGTTTTGTACTACAAGTCATTTGCGCCCAGTGTAATTTGGAATTGCAGCCACCCCGCAGCCGGAACAGTTACAAGGGTGCCTGTTGTAGGCAACGTGGTTCTTCTCAAGCTTCATGGCTTTCGAGGTGCTTACAGTTTGTCCCCTTACACGTGTTTCTTTACTGCAGTTCGTGGGTTCTGCTTTCGCCAAGATGACGATGCCTCCCGCAGCCACTGGCTCCAGCGTGATCGTTGTTGTGTGGATTTCTCCCCGTGCCACGCTGCAGTTTTCGACACCCAGCGCGTCAGCTTCCCAATCCCTCTGCTCGGGTTTTCCTGGGACTGTCCGCGAGCGTGCGAGCCGTGCCTTGTTTGTGCGTCCTTTCACCTTCTCCACCTTCTCCACCTTCTCCACTTGCGCACTTACTTCTGATTGTCCAGCGCGCGAGCCTTCCCTTGTTGGGTGTGTCCTTTCACCTTCTTGCACACTTACTTAGGGCTCACCGTGCGAGCCTTCCCTAGTTTGTGTTTACCCTTCATTCACTCACGCACTTGCCTGGGATTGTTCGCGCTCCGCGTGCGAGCCTTCCCTAGTTCGTGCGCATTGGCCTCTGAGCGTTCGAGCGCTCTGCGTGTTTGCTTTCCACCCAGGATGGCGCTCCGCACGATTGAGAAATGTTGTGCTGCAACATTCCCACCTAATACGCAGACAGGTTCCTAAACAACGAGAATGCGCTGAACGTGTGGGAAGCTGCGAGAAAGACCAAACCCTGAGCGCCCGCAATGGTTGGAAGCCTAGACACGCCTTCAACAAGGTTGCGTCGGTGGAAGGATGGAGGCGTGCTGCAACCTTTTCGGACGAAATGGTCTGCTTGGTCGCCCCAAATAAAGGCCAACATGAAGACCATCTCCTTCAGGCGGAAACCGATCTAAATGTTTTTCTCAATGCCTGGGACGCATATAAGATACGGCTACGGTGTAGAACCTTGAGACAATAATTCGATACCAAGGGTCGAAAGAAAGTTGTGTCTGTTTTGCTTTTCCCGCCCATTGATCTTAGGCAATCGCATCAGACATCAGGTTCTTTTACCTGAAGCAGATCCAGGGCCACAGAGAATGAAATCCGCTGAGCTATCGCAAGAACCATTTTGCAACCACCCCGACCCATGCTCACCACCAAAACAGTGCATGGCAATGAAACAAAATTTTCAACATCAACTCAGTTTTGTCTCGATTTTCACAGAGCCGTTGGAATCAACCACCCCTACGTTTGCCTCTACAACCACCAAAGCAAAAGGTACCAGCTCAACAAAAATACGCCCGTGTGTGCTCATACCAAAGGACGTTCCTGATTTTGCCGGTTGGCATCGACGTGTTTTGAAGCGGGCTTTCGAAGTTGCAGGGTCAAGCCACTTTGCCACTCCGGGCGCCTCTCCTTTTGGGAACCCCCTTTTGGTTTGTTTTAGGAAGGCAAAATGAAACCGTCGCTTCTTTGGAGGTCCCCCCAACTAAAGACAAACCCAATAATATTGAGATTATGACCCCCAAAACTGGCAATGGTCTCTTGTTTGTTCGCTTCATGCCCCAAAGCGCAACTGCGAAGCGAGAATCGTTTCTAATCAATGCTTCGTATGAAGCTGCTTGTGCCCAATGAAACCAGTGCCAGCTGCGAACGAAAGCGCTGCACTCGCTGGTACGACGCATTCCATGCAATTTGGGCGGATACAGCGGTGTCGGGCATGCGCGTACGATGCTTTGACCTGCCATGCATGAGCAATGGACAATGTTTCCTTGGGTGCCGGTTTTTGGTAGTCCTCTATGGTCTATGGGTTTTGCAGGTTGTTGGCTTGGCCCAAAAAGGAATGTTTGTTCGGACCTGGCAGCATTTTAGTAGGCTTGTGATTCTTGTGCATACCCCAATCTTGAATGTAGATGCTGCACTCTCATGCGTTGACACGTTGTCGAGTCGCTTGTGCAGCCGAAACTCTGGAAATGTAATCCTTGACTCGAGGAATCTGTGAGGCCTTGGAGGTCAACTTGATTTTGCGCTTGGCCGAGGATTCTGTTCTTGACGAGTGGAATCGGACATGTGCCATCGCGTTTCCTAGATGCTCGGCTGGCAGCGACCGGATCGGGGCCGCTATTCTGTAGCTCATCGCTTTCTCCGTTCATTCACAGCCACAGAGAGCAAGGTTGGGTCAAGTAGCAAACTCATCCTGGTGGCCTTCACATTTGGCTTAAGCATGTTCAGGGGGTGGCCCAACCCTACTAGAGAGACATGAGGTCCTAAACTCTTCTTGGAGTCCTCACTAACTATGGGAAATATGTGAATTCGTTCAATTTGCTGTAGCCTACGTGTTCATTTAGGAGGGGCATGGGGGACTCACCAAACCAAAGAATCACGGCCATTCCAGACACATACATAAAAGCTTCCTTTGCCAGTTGCAGGCAATGCCAGGGAATGTTAGCCAAAAGCTCCCAAGTGGGTGCTTGGGCAGTGGGCGGGTGGGTGCGTGGGTGGGCGACGCAAAGCAAGAGACCCACACTAAGATGTGGGGAGCAAACCCAAATTGCATGTCATTTGATTGGTCTTGGAGACAGAGGTTCTTCCGACTGCTTTCTCAGACCGCGCTTTCTCATGTAGATGCTGTTGGATTAGTGACCCCCTGCCGACCTCCCCTGAGCCAGTAACCATGGGTCCGAGAGTTAGTCAATCAGAGATTTCCACCCGACTCGTAGCTGGTGGACCTCCTGCAAGATCTTCGGTTTCCCTCGGCGTGCCTTTTTCTCGACCATGGGCACTCATCTAGGTATAAGGAGACCAGCATGAACATTGCCATTTTGAGGGCCCCCCTATTTTTAAGCCACACCACATTTGCCCTCTTTGCTTGGGTCCGACCTTAGGTATTCTTTCCACCCAACACCGCCAGTGGGTTCAAGGGGGTCTATATGCCCACACCGCGGGTTTGCAACAAAGAAAGCGCATTTTGCTTCTGGGGCACCCTTTGCTGGATATGAGTTTTTTTTTGCCCAGCCATCTCGTTGGGAGCAAAGCAGAAGAACAAGCAAAGGCTGTCGGCCTTTGGGTTGTTAAAGAAAGAAATCGGGCAAGTGGGCCGTTGGCCCAGTCGATCGCTTGGATTCGGCCCATCCGTCTGCCGGATTTTAGGAGACCAGCTGCTGCCGGGGGATCTGATCCTCGCGGTCGGGGAGGCCAGTTGCCTCAAGGGGCCACTGGCCCCCGCGCTGCGGGAGCCCATCGGCGTGCTGGAGCTCCAGGTGGTGCGTGCCTCGCAAAACGAGCGTTTGGGGCGTGTCTCGCTTTTTTCCTATGTGGATCTTCGAGTTTTTAACATTCTGTTTCGTGTTTTTCAAGCTAAACACCGGGAGCAGGCCGAACGTGCACGCAAATCAGCAAAGATCTCCACATGGCCCCACTGACAGGTTTGTGTCCTTACGGGTACCACTTACCAGCGCTGTCAAATTTTGTTTTCCAAAAGGAGACCTGGGCAAAGGGCCCCTTGCGAGAGGCCCTGGAAGGTCCTTGTGAACCTCGTTTTCGGGACATTGCTTTTCAAATGCCATCGGAGAGATTGATTGTCCTGCTGACTTGCAACGAGGGTGCCCTTTGTCAGTTGCCCAAAGCGAATCGACTTCTTAACCTTTTGGCTTTCCTTTGTGAGGTCCATTTTTTCATGGCAACCCAAAAGGTGATCACCTTTTCTTTCTTCTCCTCTTACCATTCCTATGAGCTTTTGTGTTCAAAAGGAGACTGTAAACCAACCCCCACAACCCGTGACGTTTGCACGCTCGCACGCGCTGTGTGTGTGTGTGTAGGTCCACTAAATCCATCTTCCCCAACAAACAGAATTCCCAACTTGGAAAGTGAGACCTCTTCGCATGTGTGTAGGCGGCTGTACCTAAACCTGGGGGCAACTGACTTACCAGCGCCATCTTCTTTCTTTTTTTTTTTCCTCCAAAAGCCCAAACCCCAAACCCAAAAACTAGACTAACCCAAAAACCCCCCAAAAAATGCCCAATCCCGAAACTGACGGTAAAACCCGCCCCCGAAGCTCCCTAAAAGCCCAGACCTCGAGCATCCACGCGTCAGACGGACCCGAGGGTCACATGTCCGGCGGTCCGAGGCTTCGCGGCGGCCTGGAACTTCGATTGCCACCGGAGCTTGGAGGGCCAGGCGGCGCAGGGCCGACTCTTTTTTGCCTCTGGTTTGTTGGACGCCTGGGTTAGGTGGTTGCAGAAAAGGGGGCCAAAAGGAACCCCGAAAAAAGCGGCCGAAAAGAAGACGAACCATTCTGGTTAGGTTGTTTTTGGTTTTCCAATAGGAATCAGGTGTGTGACCCGAAACCCCGGACGTTCAGCAAGTTTGGGTGTATCTGCGAACAGGGGACTCCAACAAATAGTGCCTTGTCTTGTGTTTTCCCCTTCAAAATGAAGCTAAGATTGGTACCCTCCCCAACACAAACAAAATATTAACGCCGCCCTTTTTCCCCTTGGCCAGTTGGGACAATTGTTTGAATCCTGGCTTCATCCCCAGTTCAAAACATCGGCAACATTTGAGTGAGCAACGGACATTTCCAGCCGAAACCGAGCTTGGCATTTTGTTCGGTATTTGAGCATCACTTGTTGTTGACAAGTTTTTGGGTTTTTGGTTCCGTTCAGTTTGAGTAGGGGCTGCAAACAAAAAGCAAGCTTTTTGCAAACCTATACCAAGGGTTGTAAAGTTGAGGCTTCATTCCTCACAGGCAATGAACTCTGGTAAGTGGTCAACTGCCCCAATTGTGGGTTGCGCACAGCCAGCCATTGCCCGACGATTGGTCCAAGGATTCAGACAGGTTTCTTTTGCCTTTTGAATCATGGAAGTGGGTTTACAACTATCCTTTTGAACAGGCCCTTCCATGGAAACAGGCGAAGTGGGCCACAGGAGCGCCCACCGCCTGTGGCTTTGGCTTTTGCACTTGTTCTTCCAGGGTCAACATGTTTAGTTTCCCAGGGTTTCCAGGATGCCTTGCCAGCTCAACAAAGCCAACCGCACGGTTTGGCTCCAGGTCCGAACGGTAGACGGCGTGGTTTTCCGGATGCATCAATAAGAGAATCCCAGCCCCCTGTTTCCACCTGACGCCTTCCGAATTGAGCCGTGGCGTGTGACTGTGAGACGTGGAGAGACGCGTCGAGAGTCGCGCCAGGTGGTCTCGAGTTTGGCGCTCAAGGACGAGAGCCCCGATCGCTTCGAGGACCTGGACAGGCGCAGATCCCGGTGCCGGAAGGAAATGAGTTGGAATGACCGCTATAAACCATCCCCAAGTTTAAGGGAATCCTTTTCTTTGAGTCCGTTTTTTTTGGACTTGCTTTTCACCCGAAAGCGGCGCGCTCTCAGTGCACTTGGCAAGCCGCAAAGACAAAAAATCCCCAAGTTCATTCCCAACACCCTGAGTCATTCCCTGCTGAGCACCAGCGAGAAGCCATGGCTTCAGCTTGCCAATGGAGCCGAATGGCTGGTTTGGAGGTATGGAGGTTGGGACACCCCATTTCTTTATCCAAGAACCAGGGGTCCAAAGCCAAATCCAAATCCAAGGCACCGATTCAAAACACCAGTTAAGGTTACCTGAATGGTGGATAGGGGCGGTGTCCCCTTAGAGCAGCACCCCCCCCCCTCCAATTTTCCACAAGGTTTATTCATCCATAGGGCGCAAAGACGGAAGTTGGGGCAGTCGCTTTGCCAGAGAACGCGGGGTCCGGCGCAACGTGGTTGTTTGATGGTTTACAGCGTGGGTTTTTGGGTGGAAACCTTCATCAAAACGTCCGACGACTCAAAAGCGACCCTATGTTGTGGTTTTGCTCCAGGGGACTGGGGTATGGATGTCCAAGCTGTTGCAAGGGAGCAAGGACATCTTCCAGTTTACAATGACTTGCCATGGTTCTGAGCATGGCCAGTGTACTTTGCAATGCTTAAGGTCTGAGCGGTGCCATACTCTGGATCCCACCATTCGCCCCTTCCGCGTAAAACGGCGAGCCGTCCATTTTGACGTTGGACCTTGTTAAAGTGAACAACTGTACTTGGAAGGGTGGCGCAAAGTCTTTCTCTCTCTCTCTCTCTAACCTTCTTTCTCTCTCGCTCTATTTTTTTTTTCTCTCTCTCTATCTTTCTCTCTCTATCTCTCTTTCTCTGTGTGTGTTTGTGTGGTGCGAGTCGAACTCCTCAGATTCAAACGGTCCCTTTGTCACAAAGAGCCTTGTTCGAAGTGGTCAGGTTCCAATGAGGGCGAGGTGGACTGGAGCGGGCGCATCGGGAGCTCAAGGAGACACATGATTTGGAATGGATGGCATTCGTTCAGAGCGCTGTGCGC